TGTCGTGGTCTCACAGGTGTCGTGGTCTCGCAGGTGTCGTGGTCTCACAGGTGTCGTGGTCTCACAGGTGTCGTGGTCTCACAGGTGTCATGGTCTCACAGGTGTCGTGGTCTCACAGGTGTCGTGGTCTCACAGGTGTCGTGGTCTCACAGGTGTCGTGGTCTCACAGGTGTCATGGTCTCACAGGTGTCGTGGTCTCACAGGTGTCGTGGTCTCACAGGTGTCGTGGTCTCACAGGTGTCGTGGTCTCGCAGGTGTCGTGGTCTCACAGGTGTCGTGGTCTCACAGGTGTCGTGGTCTCACAGGTGTCGTGGTCTCACAGGTGTCGTGGTCTCACAGGTGTCGTGGTCTCACAGGTGTCGTGGTCTCACAGGTGTCGTGGTCTCACAGGTGTCGTGGTCTCACAGGTGTCGTGGTCTCGCAGGTGTCGTGGTCTCCAAGGTGTCGTGGTCTCGCAGGTGTCGTGGTCTCGCAGGTGTCGTGGTCTCACAGGTGTCATGGTCTCACAGGTGTCGTGGTCTCACAGGTGTCGTGGTCTCACAGGTGTCGTGGTCTCACAGGTGTCGTGGTCTCACAGGTGTCGTGGTCTCACAGGTGTCGTGGTCTCACAGGTGTCGTGGTCTCACAGGTGTCGTGGTCTCGCAGGTGTCGTGGTCTCGCAGGTGTCGTGGTCTCACAGGTGTCGTGGTCTCACAGGTGTCGTGGTCTCGCAGGTGTCGTGGTCTCGCAGGTGTCGTGGTCTCACAGGTGTCGTGGTCTCACAGGTGTCGTGGTCTCACAGGTGTTGTGGTCTCGCAGGTGTCGTGGTCTCGCAGGTGTCGTGGTCTCACAGGTGTCGTGGTCTCGCAGGTGTCGTGGTCTCACAGGTGTCGTGGTCTCGCAGGTGTCGTGGTCTCGCAGGTGTCGTGGTCTCACAGGTGTCGTGGTCTCGCAGGTGTCGTGGTCTCGCAGGTGTCGTGGTCTCACAGGTGTCGTGGTCTCACAGGTGTCGTGGTCTCACAGGTGTCGTGGTCTCACAGGTGTCGTGGTCTCACAGGTGTCGTGGTCTCACAGGTGTCGTGGTCTCACAGGTGTCGTGGTCTCACAGGTGTCATGGTCTCACAGGTGTCGTGGTCTCGCAGGTGTCGTGGTCTCCAAGGTGTCGTGGTCTCGCAGGTGTCGTGGTCTCGCAGGTGTCGTGGTCTCACAGGTGTCGTGGTCTCACAGGTGTCGTGGTCTCGCAGGTGTCGTGGTCTCACAGGTGTCGTGGTCTCGCAGGTGTCGTGGTCTCGCAGGTGTCGTGGTCTCGCAGGTGTCGTGGTCTCGCAGGTGTCGTGGTCTCGCAGGTGTCGTGGTCTCACAGGTGTCGTGGTCTCGCAGGTGTCGTGGTCTCGCAGGTGTCGTGGTCTCGCAGGTGTCGTGGTCTCACAGGTGTCGTGGTCTCGCAGGTGTCGTGGTCTCCCAGGTGTCGTGGTCTCACAGGTGTCGTGGTCTCACAGGTGTCGTGGTCTCGCAGGTGTCGTGGTCTCGCAGGTGTCGTGGTCTCCCAGGTGTCGTGGTCTCACAGGTGTCGTGGTCTCGCAGGTGTCGTGGTCTCGCAGGTGTCGTGGTCTCGCAGGTGTCGTGGTCTCGCAGGTGTCGTGGTCTCGCAGGTGTCGTGGTCTCGCAGGTGTCGTGGTCTCGCAGGTGTCGTGGTCTCGCAGGTGTCGTGGTCTCGCAGGTGTCGTGGTCTCGCAGGTGTCGTGGTCTCGCAGGTGTCGTGGTCTCCCAGGTGTCGTGGTCTCACAGGTGTCGTGGTCTCACAGGTGTCGTGGTCTCACAGGTGTCGTGGTCTCCCAGGTGTCGTGGTCTCGCAGGTTTCGTGGTCTCGCAGGTGTCGTGGTCTCGCAGGTGTTGTGGTCTCGCAGGTGTCGTGGTCTCGCAGGTGTCGTGGTCTCGCAGGTGTCGTGGTCTCGCAGGTGTCGTGGTCTCGCAGTTGTCGTGGTCTCGCAGGTGTCGGTCTCACAGGTGTCGTGGTCTCACAGGTGTCGTGGTCTCACAGGTGTCGTGGTCTCACAGGTGTCGTGGTCTCACAGGTGTCGTGGTCTCACAGGTGTCGTGGTCTCGCAGGTGTCGTGGTCTCGCAGGTGTCGTGGTCTCCCAGGTGTCGTGGTCTCGCAGGTGTCGTGGTCTCGCAGGTGTCGTGGTCTCACAGGTGTCATGGTCTCACAGGTGTCGTGGTCTCACAGGTGTCGTGGTCTCACAGGTGTCGTGGTCTCACAGGTGTCGTGGTCTCACAGGTGTCGTGGTCTCACAGGTGTCGTGGTCTCACAGGTGTCGTGGTCTCACAGGTGTCGTGGTCTCGCAGGTGTCGTGGTCTCACAGGTGTCGTGGTCTCACAGGTGTCGTGGTCTCACAGGTGTCGTGGTCTCCCAGGTGTCGTGGTCTCGCAGGTTTCGTGGTCTCGCAGGTGTCGTGGTCTCGCAGGTGTCGTGGTCTCACAGGTGTCGTGGTCTCACAGGTGTCGTGGTCTCGCAGGTGTCGTGGTCTCGCAGGTGTCGTGGTCTCACAGGTGTCGTGGTCTCACAGGTGTCGTGGTCTCACAGGTGTTGTGGTCTCGCAGGTGTCGTGGTCTCGCAGGTGTCGTGGTCTCACAGGTGTCGTGGTCTTGCAGGTGTCGTGGTCTCACAGGTGTCGTGGTCTCGCAGGTGTCGTGGTCTCGCAGGTGTCGTGGTCTCACAGGTGTCGTGGTCTCGCAGGTGTCGTGGTCTCGCAGGTGTCGTGGTCTCACAGGTGTCGTGGTCTCACAGGTGTCGTGGTCTCACAGGTGTCGTGGTCTCACAGGTGTCGTGGTCTCACAGGTGTCGTGGTCTCACAGGTGTCGTGGTCTCACAGGTGTCGTGGTCTCACAGGTGTCATGGTCTCACAGGTGTCGTGGTCTCGCAGGTGTCGTGGTCTCCAAGGTGTCGTGGTCTCGCAGGTGTTGTGGTCTCGCAGGTGTCGTGGTCTCACAGGTGTCGTGGTCTCACAGGTGTCGTGGTCTCGCAGGTGTCGTGGTCTCACAGGTGTCGTGGTCTCGCAGGTGTCGTGGTCTCGCAGGTGTCGTGGTCTCGCAGGTGTCGTGGTCTCGCAGGTGTCGTGGTCTCGCAGGTGTCGTGGTCTCACAGGTGTCGTGGTCTCGCAGGTGTCGTGGTCTCGCAGGTGTCGTGGTCTCGCAGGTGTCGTGGTCTCGCAGGTGTCGTGGTCTCGCAGGTGTCGTGGTCTCCCAGGTGTCGTGGTCTCACAGGTGTCGTGGTCTCACAGGTGTCGTGGTCTCGCAGGTGTCGTGGTCTCGCAGGTGTCGTGGTCTCCCAGGTGTCGTGGTCTCACAGGTGTCGTGGTCTCGCAGGTGTCGTGGTCTCGCAGGTGTCGTGGTCTCGCAGGTGTCGTGGTCTCGCAGGTGTCGTGGTCTCGCAGGTGTCGTGGTCTCGCAGGTGTCGTGGTCTCGCAGGTGTCGTGGTCTCGCAGGTGTCGTGGTCTCGCAGGTGTCGTGGTCTCGCAGGTGTCGTGGTCTCGCAGGTGTCGTGGTCTCGCAGGTGTCGTGGTCTCCCAGGTGTCGTGGTCTCACAGGTGTCGTGGTCTCACAGGTGTCGTGGTCTCACAGGTGTCGTGGTCTCCCAGGTGTCGTGGTCTCGCAGGTTTCGTGGTCTCGCAGGTGTCGTGGTCTCGCAGGTGTTGTGGTCTCGCAGGTGTCGTGGTCTCGCAGGTGTCGTGGTCTCGCAGGTGTCGTGGTCTCGCAGTTGTCGTGGTCTCGCAGGTGTCGTGGTCTCACAGGTGTCGTGGTCTCACAGGTGTCGTGGTCTCACAGGTGTCGTGGTCTCACAGGTGTCGTGGTCTCACAGGTGTCGTGGTCTCGCAGGTGTCGTGGTCTCGCAGGTGTCGTGGTCTCCCAGGTGTCGTGGTCTCGCAGGTGTCGTGGTCTCGCAGGTGTCGTGGTCTCACAGGTGTCATGGTCTCACAGGTGTCGTGGTCTCACAGGTGTCGTGGTCTCACAGGTGTCGTGGTCTCACAGGTGTCGTGGTCTCACAGGTGTCGTGGTCTCACAGGTGTCGTGGTCTCACAGGTGTCGTGGTCTCACAGGTGTCGTGGTCTCGCAGGTGTCGTGGTCTCCAAGGTGTCGTGGTCTCGCAGGTGTCGTGGTCTCGCAGGTGTCGTGGTCTCACAGGTGTCATGGTCTCACAGGTGTCGTGGTCTCACAGGTGTCGTGGTCTCACAGGTGTCGTGGTCTCACAGGTGTCGTGGTCTCACAGGTGTCGTGGTCTCACAGGTGTCGTGGTCTCACAGGTGTCGTGGTCTCACAGGTGTCGTGGTCTCACAGGTGTCGTGGTCTCGCAGGTGTCGTGGTCTCGCAGGTGTCGTGGTCTCACAGGTGTCGTGGTCTCACAGGTGTCGTGGTCTCGCAGGTGTCGTGGTCTCGCAGGTGTCGTGGTCTCACAGGTGTCGTGGTCTCACAGGTGTCGTGGTCTCACAGGTGTTGTGGTCTCGCAGGTGTCGTGGTCTCGCAGGTGTCGTGGTCTCACAGGTGTCGTGGTCTCGCAGGTGTCGTGGTCTCACAGGTGTCGTGGTCTCGCAGGTGTCGTGGTCTCGCAGGTGTCGTGGTCTCACAGGTGTCGTGGTCTCGCAGGTGTCGTGGTCTCGCAGGTGTCGTGGTCTCGCAGGTGTCGTGGTCTCGCAGGTGTCGTGGTCTCGCAGGTGTCGTGGTCTCGCAGGTGTCGTGGTCTCGCAGTTGTCGTGGTCTCGCAGGTGTCGTGGTCTCACAGGTGTCGTGGTCTCACAGGTGTCGTGGTCTCACAGGTGTCGTGGTCTCACAGGTGTCGTGGTCTCACAGGTGTCGTGGTCTCACAGGTGTCGTTGTCTCACAGGTGTCGTGGTCTCACAGGTGTCGTGGTCTCAGAGGTACCAAAGAGCATCCAAAGGCCGCCCGGAATACGATACGCCTCCGCAATTTGAGGCGTGTCAGAACAGGGACCCTGCCTCACGAGTATGGGCATTTTGAGTCTCACAGGTGTCGCAGCTCGGGGAGCACCCAAAGGCCGCCCGGGATGGATCCGTGCAAGGTGCTGTCGCTCAGATCCCTGGCAGGGAGTGAAGGGAGGGCGCAAGGAAGCAGAACAGGTTATGAAGTCCCGAGGGCACGGAGAGGGGAGAGATGGCTTTGAGTTGAGTTGGCGGTCATCTTGGGACTTATCCGTTCAATGAGCTGTCAATCAGGTCACTGGTAGTCCACGTGAGCAAGATATGGAAACGGGGCATGGGGGCACGGGGCGAGGCCCCGGGGGCAGGGCATGGGACGGGCACAGGCGCAAGGCATGGGACAGGGCATGGATGTGTGTGGGCCACGTGTGTGGACCATGTGTGTGGACCATGTGTGTGGGCCACGTGTGTGGGCCACGTGTGTGGACCATGTGTGTGGACCATGTGTGTGGACCATGTGTGTGGACCATGTGTGTGGGCCATGTGTGTGGACCATGTGTGTGGACCATGTGTGTGGACCATGTGTGTGGACCATGTGTGTGGACCATGTGTGTGGACCATGTGTGTGGGCCACGTGTGTGGACCATGTGTGTGGACCATGTGTGTGGACCATGTGTGTGGACCATGTGTGTGGACCATGTGTGTGGACCATGTGTGTGGGCCATGTGTGTGGACCATGTGTGTGGGCTGGCCATGAACTGTAGGGGGGAAAGGCATGCAGGACGGAACAGAGAGGGGAAGTAAAGGCATGGTTCCCAAAAGCAAGGCATTCGAGGCATCTCATCTCATTCTGTGTGTGTCTATCCACCAACGGCCAAGGCTCTCACACGCCCTCAAGCGCTCACACACGTTTTGCCCTGCCCATCCACCTTTGTGTCGACTTTTGAGTCGACTCAAAGGTCAGCCTGCTATCCAACCTTGCCATGCTCGCAGAAAGCCTGTTTCCCTCAGAACCTCTCTCAAACTCCTGACCTTCCGCACTTTCTCGATTCACAAAGTCTCAAGCCTCTCAGATCTATCGTGCTTCCAATCCAACTCCCGAGCCTCTCAAGCCTCTCATGTCTCTCAAGCTTCCATCTCTCAAGCCTCCCAAGCCGCCGACTCACAGGCGCCTGAGCTGCGTCAGCAGGCTGAGAAACAACGGCGTTGTGCCCCATAGGCTGTTGTGACTCAGATCGCTGGAGAAGGAAGGGGGAGAGGAGCGCGGGAGAGGAAAGGATGAGACAGTGGGAGAAAGAGGGCACAGGAAGAGTGGGGGGTATGGTGTGAGAGGCGGATGGAGGGAGATGGAGTGTATGGGGTACGGAGAGCAGGAGGAGAGCGCAGGAGGGAAGGCTGGGAGGGAGGAAGACGGGTAGATGGGAGAGGGGAGGCTATGAAACAGAGGACGGCGGAAGGGAAGAGAGGAAAGCAGGGAGGAGGAGAGGTAGGGAGCTGATGGAAGGAGGGAGAGAGTGGGGTCTTACAGGAGAGAGAGGGAGGTGAGGGCACTGAATGTGGAGGGGATGGAGCCACTTAGAGAGCAGTTCGCGAGGTTGCTGTTTTGGGACGAAACGCAGGGCATGGAGCAGAGAAGAAAGGGGATTAATGGAGGACAAACGAGAATGGAAAGGGGACAGGGCGCAACAGCTTGAAACTCTAGACGGCAGATGAGCGGTCATTATTGGGGAGGGACGATAGGTCCCTCCAGAGTTTAAAGTGTGCTAGTGGTGACGCTTACAGGAGAGTGAGGGTGGTGAGATTGCCAATCTCCCTGGGAATGCTGCCATTCAGCAGTGTGTTGCTCAGGTCACTGCTCATGAAGTACATGCCCCCGACATGGCATACCATGGCAAGGCATGGCACAACAAGCCATGCCGCACGTGTCATGCCCATATGACATAACATCAAGTATCGCATGTGTTGTGTCTCAGTGAACAAACAAGAAAGCGTTCTTTAATGAGGCATGGTGAACACAACATGACAAAACGCTAACAGGGGAACATCACTACGCATGTCCTGGGATCCTTGCACATGGCGATGGGTCCGGTTGCGGTAGATGGAAACCTGCAGCTGACCATGGCAAGTCACCATGTCACTACCAATTGCCACCGCCGTGCCTCACATTGCCACCACCATGCCTCACATTGCCACCACCATGCCTCACATTGCCACCACCGTGCCTCACATTGCAACCACCGTGACTCACATTGCCACCACCGTGCCTCACATTGCTACCACCGTGCCTCACATTGCCACCACCATGCCTCACATTGCCACCACCGTGCCTAACATTGCCACCACCGTGCCTCGCATTGCCACCACCATGCCTCACATTGCCACCGCCGTGCCTCAAATTGCCACCACCATGCCTCACATTGCCACCACCATGCCTCACATTGCCACCACCGTGCCTCACATTGCAACCACCGTGACTCACATTGCCACCACCGTGCCTCACATTGCTACCACCGTGCCTCACATTGCCACCACCATGCCTCACATTGCCACCACCGTGCCTAACATTGCCACCACCGTGCCTCGCATTGCCACCACCATGCCTCACATTGCCACCACCGTGCCTCACATTGCCACCACCGTGCCTCACATTGCCACCACCGTGCCTCACATTGCCACCACCGTGCCTCACATTGCCACCACCGTGCCTCCCATTGCCACTACCGTGTCTCACATTGCCACCACCGTGCCATTGCTGTCACAAGTCACCCCTTGCACTTGGCTGCAGTCCGCCCCTCCACTCCACCCTGTGGGCGCCACTCCCCATGCCCCCGCGCTGCCCGCTAGTGCTTGTGCTGCTGGAAGAGAGGGACGAAGGGAGGAGCACGGCACACACGGCGACACAAGTGAGTGTGGGACCAGGAGGGGAGGTGGGGAAAAGCAGCACCCCAGGCCGCAAGGTGATTGGTCAAGAGCATTCTAGTCTTGGATCTTCAGAAACGGCTGGGAAGTTGGAATAGCAGAACTGGATGAGACTTGGGAGGAGAGCATTTGTTTGGCATGGCGAGAGAGGAGCTAATTAGCATGGGAAAGAGCAGCTGCTTAGCATGGGAAAGAGCAGCTGCTTAGCATGGGAAAGAGCAGCTGCTTAGCATGGGAGGAAGAACCAGAGAGTTCATGATGCGAGCATGGATGCATGGCATGCGTGACGTGCGCATGGATGGATGCATGGAGATACCACTGTGAGTTAGAAAAGTGCGTAGTATTGCTCCGTGCTCACACATCTCATCTCATGCCATCACGCATCCCATGACTGTCAGTACAGCGCATCACATTGCATCCCATCCCATTTCCTCCATCAGTCCATCCTCACCCGATACCTTGCGGCGCATCCCATCCCAACACTTCCATCCGATCCCATCTTTTCCATTCCATATCATCAAACTCTTTCCATCACGTCTCATCCTTTCCATATCATCCAATCCTCCTTCCCATCCCGTCCTTTCCATCCCATTCCATCCTTTCCATCATCCCTTCCTCTCCTTCCCATCCCATCCATCCATCCCGACCCATGTTTTCCATTCCATCCCTTCCGTCCCTCCCATCTGATCCTTTCCATATCATCCATTCCAACCTTTCCATCCTAGCCCATCCCATCTTTTCCATACAATCCTCCCTTCCATATCATCCAATCGTTCCATCCCATCCGATCCTTCCATCATTTTTCCGTCCAACTCCATCCCATCCTACCATTTCCGCCCCATCCCATCTTTTGCATCCCATCCTTCCATCCCATCCTTTCCGTTCCCATTCCATCACTTCCATCACATCCCTCCTTCCATCCCATCCCATCTTTCCATCCCATCCTTTTCATCCTTTCCTTCCATCCCATCCTTCTATCCTTTCCTTTGCATCCCATTCCATCCTTCCCGTCCCATTCCATCCTTCCCGTCCCATTCCATCCTTCCATCCCATCCTTTCCATGTAATCCTCCGCCTCATGGAAAGGCTTCAAGCAACCTGCAATGACATGGTACCCCCTTGCATCCGCTTCCGGCTTTCGCCTTTTTCCATCTCACCGTCTTCCTACCCCCTCGTACAATTGAGTCACCTTGTACTGTGTCTATCCGTGCAACGGGTTGTGCAGTGTGCACGGGGAGGCTCGATGCGAGGATCGTCGCGAAAAGAAGAAAAAACATCGCTTGAAAGCAGCACGTCGCGCGTCTATCGATGCAACGGCTTCCGTTTGAGAGTAGCGCGCCGAACCCCAGCGGCCTTCGCTTAATTTTTTGGCTCGGTTTTCGTTTTGCGACGAAGAATAGGAAAGACTACTCGAATGATTCCCGTATTGGAGGGGAATTTGGGGCTGAATTGGAACTTTATTTTGCTTCTGCTCGCTCGCTGGTATCGCGCCGCGAGATTCTCGTACCCGCGCTACGCGGAAGAGGGAAATGGTCGCGTGGGGCTAGTACGACTACGAGTGAGCTCAAAGGAAGGTAAAGAGGTACAACGAGGTTCAATGTATAGCGGTTTCTAAAAGCATTGCGTAAGGACAGTACTATTGCACTGTAAGCGTAGGAAGATGGATAGTGGAAGATGGACTATTGCGTGTTGTTGTGGATTTCCTCTGGGAATTAGTGGAAGGATAGGTTGCAAATACGAGACAAGTGGCGTGCAATGCAAGTGCAAGGGCTTGCTGTTGTTGAGGTGGGGAGGGGGCTGAAATCGAAAGACGGCGCGAAGGTTAGACGAAGTACATACGATGGTTTCGCAGATGGCTCGCTTGGAAATCTTCGGGTGGGTCCAGTGTTCGTTTTCAGTTCATCCGTCGTTGCGCAAGACGATTCCAAACGGTGCACAACGGTTATTTGGCCTCACCGTTTCGCACCGTGACGCAACAAGAGTAACCGCACAGAACGAACGAAGGACGAACGTGCTGGACCCGCCCGCTGAACGAATTTCCTCTCAGTCGCCCGTCACAAATGACACATCTCGCTGACGATTATTGGTGCGGATTGTTAAAGCCCGCGTCCCAAATTGCGGGCGGCGAGGGTCAAGTTTTTAAAACTTGACGAAGTTGAGTGTCCAAGCTTTTGAAAGTCACGCACTTGCAATTTGGGACTTTCGAAGACAGATTCACTCACCAGGGGGAAAACCGAGGGTTGGCTGGGTCTCGCGAAAAAAACGAACCTAGACGAAATCGGAAACTCTCGCCAAAGCCCACACCAGAAAAACTCCCTCTGGTCAACTTTTAAAAGCATGAACAATTTGGGCCGCCGGCTTTAAACAAGAAGCGTTACCACGTGAACATCCAGGTTATCAAGAGAGTTCGCTTCACTTCCCTTGCATCTCACGTGAATAATTGGACCCAAGATCGATTGCCGTGGAAGACGCTGGAAACAGATTCACATGTGGGAGAGCATGTAACGCGTTTGCATCGCAGGTAGCCGTTGGATTTGTGCGCACTTCAATCCTCTAGTCTGGGGAGACTCTCGCGCTCACCACACCAAATTCTGGGGTTTTTAGCTACGCCAGAAGAGGTGTACTTTCGACCCTGCGCTTTCCACTGACCTTCATCTCTACCTGCGCAGAGTTTCCCAGGTTTCGACGCCCATGCAGAAGACTTATGGGGCTGAGACAGAACTCGGCTCCACGTTTAACCACGTTTCAGTCATTGCACATCCCAACTATTGCTGCTGCACACAGAGAAACAGTGCACAACCGCTTTTGTTATTTTCTGCCGAGCCAAAACCACGTTCTGGTTGGCTCGGCAGCTCACTGTTTCAAAATCTGGGGATGTGCACTGTCGCGCCAGTAAATCTGTTTCATCCCCAGATTTTTGGGTAATATATTGCACTGCCTGCTGACACAGGCAGTGCAATGAGTCAGCGAGCAAGAAAAAAAATAAACCCCCATCGGAAGGCATGCCATCCGAGGGAGCCTCAACCCTAAAATTTTTGGGTTGAGGCTCCCCGAATGGCATGCAGTCCGAATGGGTTTTAGATTTTCTGCCCGGGGGCAGAATGCTGACTTACCTTGTAGCGTCGTTTAGCGAAACGGTAGCGCTACCGAGCGCTACCGACGCTACCGAGTGAGGTATTGAAACAGTGAGCTACCGAGCCATCCAGAACGTGGTTTTTACTCGGCAGAAAATAACAAAAGCGGTTGTGCACTGTTTCTCTGCGTAAATCAGCAGTAGTTGGGATGTGCAATGACTGACATGTGGTTAAACGTGGAGCCGAGTTCTGTCTCAGCCCCATAAGTCTTCTGCATGGGCGTCGAAACCTGGGACACTCTGTGCAGGTGGAGATGAAGGTCAATGGAAAGCGCAAGATCGAAAGTACCTCTTCTGGCGTAGCTAAAAACCCCAAATTCTCTCACCCATCCTCACCTTCACAGATTCGTGCACTCCGGAGAACTGTACGTCTCGGAGCAAACTTCGGTTTTAGCTTCTCTGATCTGGTTGGTCAGATTCACAACCACGAACGCGAACGCGTCTCTCAAGTACTGTAGCCAGTCATCAAACGAACAAACGATAACGACCTAGTTCGCATTATGGCTCGCCGATATGATGCAACTGCTAGGTAAACCTGATTGGATTGGAGGCGACCAAAACGAGAGGTCTCGTTAGAAGCCAGCGCATGATCCGAGCAGCCAATACTCTGCGAGTTCAGGTGAAAAAATGATGCAATCGCAACCGCGGTCTGAACCAGCTGGTCTCACTTCGCAAAGGTCGGCTGCTGTGCAGTCCCTCATCCCAAAAAACTCCGCTGGAGCTACATTGTAGTTACCCCGTAGCTGCATGCGATGTTCGATCTACCTACAGTGCACTCGGCTACATTGTACTTATAGGTTCTGCTACAAACATTTTACTTCGAATCCCCGTATGGGGTGGCAATAGGGTAACCACATAGTACATACTCCGATAAATGTATAGTAACTACATAGTATACATTCTAAATTTACTCTTAACCCACTCCCTCAGCCAGCATAGAGTTGGTACATAGTATGTAGTGCATAGTGCTTATAAAGCATATTTCAGCATGATTCTTTGCAATTGAATTACGATTCCAGATACACGCTTATTGTTAAACCAAAGTGAAATCGAATATTTTCATAGAACGTTAAAAATAGACATCCTACCAATACAGTGTTCGCAAAAGCTACGTATGAATAAAATACACTTGGTATAGCCCTACTAAGTCGCCTTGCAACTGCAATCGATAAACACCTCCCTGCAAAACAAGAGTAAAAAATCAACAAGTCGAGAGCGCCAAATACGTACATGGGTTCAGACAAGACTTGACAGAAAATACTTAATGGAATTGCTGATAAGAAAACATAATAGCACATTCTGCACAGGAAAACATGTAGCCTGCAAGACCGCGACACGTTGATACACCGTCAAGAGTTTAACAAACAGTCAAGAAGTTAAGGTTAGCATAACAGACAACAGAAACGGTCGCATAGTACTTACAGTAGTAACAACGCTGCCGCAACCCGCATGCCATCGCCCAAATCGCCACCCCCAAATTGCCACGCACATTCACCAACACCCATGTCGCAAACGCCCATGTCGCCACGCCCATGTCGCAAACGCCCATATCGCCAACGCCCATATCGCCAACGTGCCAACGCCCATATCACCACGCCCATGTCGCCACGCCCATGTCGCCACGCCCATATCGTCACGCCCAAATCTACGCGCCCAAATGCCACGCCAATGTCGCCTGCAATAGTGTGATAAGGTAGATGCAAACGACTGAAAATCAATTAGTCGCGCTGAAGATTCCCAAGCTGAAAACGAACAAGAGCGTGGTTTGGCAGGTGAAACTGAAGAGCAGGGAACGAAACAAAGGTTGCCTGGAAGAAATGAAAGGAGGAAATGACAAGGGTGGGCGTTGGAACTACCCAGTTAGAGGGCGTTCCCACAGTTTCCCGACAAGAAAGTCTGCCCACGCGGCTCGCAATTTTGCAAATTTCAAGAAATTTGCAAACATGCGGCTCGAAGTTCGACCACC